CGCAGGAGCAGAGCCAGGGGCAGCAGGCTGGCGCAGAAGGGCAAGAAGCGGGGCCGGGGCGGGCGGCCGTTCACCGCCGCCTCCGCGCGGCGCGGGTCCGAGGACTCCTCCTGCGACAGCCTGGGCGTGGTGATCGAGGAGATAGACGAGGAGGACCTGAGCGGGCTGGACGACCAGAGGGCCCTGTACACCACGCTCCAGGTGGCCGCCAAGGAGCTCGTGAAGAAATGGGCTCTCCAGGGTGACCCAGAGGACGGAGACGGCCCCCGCGAGTTCTTGGCTCTGGTGACGGTGACGGACAAAGCCAAGAAGGAGGAGATGGACAAGGAGACCCCGGGGGCTGAGTCCATCAGCCTCAACATCGAAGACCTGAGCGGGGTCCCCGATTTGGTGGCCCTCCTTGCCGTGAGAGACACTTCTGGCGAGGAGCCCCTAGACAGCGACGCTTCCGAGGGCGAGTCGCAGGAAAACGGGGGCCAAGAGCAAGAGGGGGGCAACCCTGAGTTTGTGGCCATCGTCGCGTATACAGACCCCTCGGACCCGTCCGCCCGGGAGGAGATGTTGAAAATCGCGTCTGTGATTGAGTCGCTGGGCTGGAGCGACCAGAAGGAGCAAAAAGATGCGCTTCCCGAGGTGCTGTCCGTCATGTCCAAGGACACGTCCGGCACCCGCGTGAAGGTGGAGGAGGCGGGCCGCCAGGTGGACGCCATGGTGCTGAGGAAGGCCAAGGCCGACGGGAACCTCCTGGAGTGCATTTCCACCTTGGCCGAGCCCGAGACCCTCCCCAAGGGGAAGAAGGCTCCGCGGGGCCTCTTCGGGGGCTGGGGAGACGAAGAGGAAGAGGTGGGCCTCCTGGAGCTCGTGGCGCTGCTGGCGGCCCAGGACCTGGCCGAGGTGATGAAGGGAGACCGGGAAGAAGCCCGGGAGGGCGGGAAGTCGCGATGCGCCAAGGGCGGCCTGGGGGAGGTGCTGGCGCTCCTGGCGGCGGCGCGCGGCGGCCGGGAGTCGGAGGAGGAGTCGGAGGGGGCGTCGGACGGAGGCTCAGAGGAGGCGTCTGAGGACACGGAGAGCGAGGAGTCGGAGCCTGAGGACCGGGCGTCCAGGAAGCCCCGTGCCAAGCGAGCCCGCACGGCCTCTAAGGTCCTGGGTCAGGCCGGCACCCCCTCGGGGTCCCGCAAAGCCCGACGGGGAGGCCGGGGCCGCGGGGGGAGGGGCAACACCCCCGAGAAGAAAGCCAAGGACGAGGCGGCGGGCGACAAGAAGAAGAAGGGG